TCCCAAAATTGATTATTATCTTTGGAATCGTTATAAACGGGAAGTGTAATTAAAGAGAGAACTGAACAATTTGTCATTAATTGGTACAACTGGGAGAATTTGCATTGTTATTAAATTTGACGTTTAAAGTGAATTTTAGGAGTTTTTTTTTCTCTTAATTGAGGATTAATTAAGTAGGAAATGTATGACAATTAATGTTAACTTATACGGTAAGATTTTAAGAGGATAAAGTTTAAAAAAAAAAACACATTTTTTAAATAGTGTAGTTTATTCATTTATGCACTATAGCTACATAGAGTAGCACATTATAGTAAAGTAAGGAGAAGCTGAATGGATAGAAAATAAATATAAAAATAAGAATTTCATTTAATTTTTTAATTGTTTCCAAATGGGAGTTAAACCTTCAAAACTCCTTTCGAGTTCATACGGATCTACAGCGGAAGTAACTTTATGTACAGGAAATAATGATCAAAATAAATAGGGGAGATCGGGGCTACTTGTTACAGGATCAAGTAATTAGGTAGGATCTAATTGTTTCTTCTAGATGCAACACTTCACTTGTTCCACTGCACCTAACTTTCCACAGAATGTGGAAAGTTAGGTGCAGTGGAACAAGGGTATCTTACGTGAAATTTGGGGTTTTTAATGTCAAAAGAGCAGTTATTTATTGTGACATGGTCACAATGCCAGGCAGAAATTTTTAATAATATTTTAAATTTATTTAATTTAATATTTTAAATTTATTTAATTTAAAATATATGCTTTCCACCTGAAATTAATAGTGGATTGCCCCTGTACATCATACTTTTCCATTAGCAATGGAGTCGTACCAGTCATCTATTAACTGCCTTCAGGGGAAAAATTTTGAATTGAAATAACGTAACTTTTGGTTTGCATCGGAAGTTTGTACTCGTATATAGTTAATCGAGGATTCCAGCCCTGTGGTTTCCATATCTAGTTTCGTCGTTCATCTGGTCTCCATTCTCGAGATTAAGAAAGGATAGACGGACGGACGACAGTGGGAATTTAAAGGTCTACAATTTTTTCAAATTGCAACCCAATGAGCTAAAATCATAAGTGTCATTTTATGTTTTAAAAATAATTTCTTTTAGTTGTGTTTCACAAGTGATTTTGCATGTGATTTTGGCTCGAAGGTCTGAAAGTATGCTGTATAGTAAATGTTTAGGTTACTATCAATATTTAGATTCAATTTCACATGGTTACCGAGCAATGTTTGTTTAGTTTACGAGCAAGACTAGGTTAAAGGTAAAAGCGACTTTCGGAACTAGTACAACGCCAGTGCATTGTTACATTCTAAATCACTCCACACATTGTTTTCGATTTTCTCTTTAAAGAATGGTACAAACATAAGAGATAAACTGAAAGGATCAATAGACGAAGACATATATGAGAAAGCAGAAAACGATGTTGAAAAAAGACAGATTTTCAGATGATTTCTAAGAACGTTTGCAGTTTGCATACTTAAAAGTCAATTAAATGACATTCCAATATATTTTAAAATATTCAATATGTTACATTATTTTTATCCTTTAAAATTTTGCCTACATGTATGATATTTATATAAACAATTTGGTGTAACAATTTGTCTCGATTCTGTTACAACTTTCCCCAGAGGGCAAATTGTTACATTTGAAAAAGTTCCAAATATTTAAGATTTTTAAGTTTATAATATACAAATAATTATTCGGAATAAATATAGGCCTATATAGTACTCAAGTATCTACTGGTTCACTATTGAAAATTTCAATATTACAGATGCAGTAGGAAATTATTTAAAAATATGCTAAGATGAAATTGTAACATTCATTTTAATGTTGAGTCCTGTAAAAGTAAAGCATAAGATATCAAATTTAATTAATTTGTAAATTTTTCTGTTATATTTTTTATGCAAATGATAAATTTTAAAATTATAAACGAATTTTTCGCATGTTTTTGATTTATAAAAATAGAAAAAGTGATGTTTGAAAATAATATACAAGTGAAAAATGATAAATAGCATAAGGAGTTATTACAAATCTATCATTTCCAGAAAGTTTGACTTCATCTATTTATCATTTCTTCAAGTCAAAAGATTTAATATTTTTAATATTAAATTTTTTAATACATATTTTTCGATTTTTTTGTATATTTTTATACGTAAAAATGTAATAAGTACATTTTAAAATAACTTTAATTAATTGCATATTAAATGATTGATTTAATATTGCAATTTCTCAACTAAATATTTAAATTATTTTTAATTCTTGAAACAAAATATAATGTTTATAACATCCGTTCGATTAATTAAAATATTTAGAAAATATCAGATTTATTTTTAATGCACGTACAATTATTATTTACAGGAAAGTTTATTTGGATTTAGTAAATTTAAAACAAATAATTGCAACACAATTTAACTTTCTATATCCTTAGGATTTACCTAAAATCTATAAAAGTGAAGTTTATTTATATACAAAATATGAACTTTAATGCTTAAATTTATATAATTTTAACATTATTTTTTATATTTTAAATTCGATTTATTGATATTATTTATATAAATATTAACTTATAAATAAAATCCTACTTTTACCGATAAAACTATGATAAGTACACCGACACAAACAAAATAGCATTCAATTAAATCCGATTGAAAATTAGATTACTGTTAAATATTTAAAGCTGTTGAACAGTTAAATTATGTTGGAAGCTATGCCTAAATTTTCAAAAGCATATTAAAATTTCAATTATGTAAGCGGTCATTTTATAATACAATTTATTAAAATTTAAAGATAAGTATTTATTGTTAGAACTAACTTTAATAATGGTTTTAGAAGCTTTAAAGATGAAAACTTAATCTTTCTTTAATCAATTTTAATATTTTAATCATCTGTATAATTAATTACATTCAGTTATTTCATCAATTATTAATATTTGTTTTTAAATTATTTTCTTTTTCTGTTTTTAAATTTAATCTTAAAAATTACGTTGATGTAAAGGTAACTTTTTAAGTTACCGAGGCTATTTGTTCAAATATATTTAAATTATTAACATATATTAATTTTAATAATATTATATTTTATATGAGAACAATAAAGCTTAAGTAATAAAAATTTATATATAGTCAAACTTCGATATAATACCCCTAGATATCTTTACCCTGGTAAATCACCAATGAATACTTGTGAACGACTTTCTCATAAATATTAGAGGACCTTTCCGTATCCATTTTGCAATGCAAACTGACAAATTATCACCATTATATCACATAACATGCAAATTGTCAAACTCAACTTGTGTGTCAATCTCATTATTATTTAAATAACATTTTTGCTAGGACAATAAGTATAGACTTAAATTTTACAAAAAAAAACGAGTTTTCAAAGTGTTCTTCTTTGTCCCTTCGTAGTTTTTTTAAATGTATAACATTTATAAGTGTTTTATGTCGCCGTCAGAGGGAAGATTGTAATGTTTTGCATGTGAAGAAGGACAAGAAGCCTCTAAATAAAGGTCGACACTGCCGTGAAATTGTTATTTCCTGATGGTATACGATGGGACAAAGAAGAAGGACACTTAAATTTCATCTATGGAAATTTTACAAAAAAATTATTTTTCACTATTATTGTCTGAGATATTTCAATTTAACTAAGGAGATCAGATGTCAGACTTCCATATACATACGCACGTTCAAAGTTAATATTGAAAAGCCGACTTACGTAAACAATACTCAACAATGGTTCTGGATACTTCTATAAATCACCCTACAATAGAAAAGCAATAAAAGTGTTTTTAGATATCTGCTGAAAATTTGGGCACACAAAGAGATAATATCCCAAAAATATTCTCTTTATTCAGATGCTTTTCCTATATGACTGATGGGTCTACATATAAATTTGTAAAAACGAATATTTAAATTTATTTCTATCTTTACATTCAAAGAGTAGTTTTTTAATTTTTATTCTATTTTTCATAGTAAGCAGATTGATATAAATTAGACTACACATTACTGCACTGTTGTACAGTACAGTATTTACACGGTCTTAGCCATCGAGAAAGGAGGGAAATCAAGGGATCTTTATAGAGCCCAGGAATCCCTAGTGATCTCGACACCTACATTAATGTTATTTTTACTAACAGAAAATAAAATATTTAAGACCACTTTTAATTAATTAAAAAAAACATTCTACATATTTCGTTTGTTAAAAATTGGCAAAAGAGACCGACTAAAGCGAAGAGGAAGCCCGCTCTACACCCAAGCCCCATACACGCTCTTGACAGACCTGGTCTTAGCAAGTGTTTATAAAATTGCACGCAGTTTTTACGAATTGAATTATTATCAATTGTTTATGTAAAAGTCGATCATGTGACTCGTTTGATGACACGTCCAAGTGTCCAGTCACACACGCTATAAAAAAGACTACCGAAAAATTACGATTTTCTGATTTTTTTGAATACTGTAAATTGTTTATTGAACACCAGAAATCTCATTTGGAAATATCTTTTTAGAAATTTTTTCAACTATAAAACGGTTAACTGACTTTTGGGCCACGCTCTATTATAATTAAATTCTTAAATCCAACGTTTGATTTGCGAATGATAAAATTTAATTTTAAGTTAACATATAAAATTATAATTTTAAAAAGTTTTAAAATTAAATTTAAGAAAAAAAAGCGAATATTATAAAGTTTTGATATGTTTTTATGCGAATTTAATTAACTAAAAATTTATAAATAACAATCGATAACCGTTTTTTTACGTACTGATTTTAATAGAAGTATTTAAGGCAATAAACAAATAAATATTTAATAATTATTTAGGCTGATGGACAGTTTAATATTTACCGTACGTCGCCTTTGGCTATGAGATATTAAATAGCAAAGATAAGGTTAAGATCAAATATTCGAGTCTTAAATTAAACATTTGATGGCGATGGTTATTAAAACGTTGGCGATATCTACTGTAAAAATATTAAAATGTTATATAAGACTAAGTCAACATGCCTTTTCCTCTAGAACATCCACGTTTTGGGTCAGCCGGCTTTAAATCGATAGTACATAAACATTCGTATGATCCACCTTTGTTTCGACACCCCGCTCCATCCACACATATGTTAGGATTTTGTGAACAAATGTCAATTTCTGTAAAATAAATAACATCAGGTTATATAAAACTAGAAATAAAAATATTATTTTACCTTATAAAATTCAAATTAAGACTGTTAGAATTCAGCTAGAAACAAAATTTTACTTTATTTTTATACTGTACAGTACTCTAATAAAATCGAGTAAAATATACACCTATAAAGGATTTAAGATATAAATATCATAAATAATAAATTTATAGTAAAGAAGTAATTTGAAAATAAATAATTTATAGTTGTTTATCGTGTCTTTGACCTTAAATATTCTTGTTTGGTTTCGAGCACCACTCGCTAGTAAGTTTTCATTCCAATTTAGTCAATATATTTATAAAGAAACTTGATATTTAATATAGTTTAAGTGTGAAATTTAAACTTTATCACCAGCACACGCAATTAAAAAACAAATGATGTCAAGTAGATGATTTAAAGAAAATTAATAAATTAAAATATATTTGTAAATCTCTGTTAATTTTCTCACCATTTAAACAAGGATTTACAATGTAATGAAAGTAAAAATATTTTCTTTTGTCTGTGATAAGAGATTTTAAACGAGAAAACAATAGAAAAAGACAACATTCCATTTGATTCAAGAGTTATTTACAAAGGACATAAACAACAATCGAGTTAAGATTCAGTCGGGATGCGCTGTTCTATTGAATTAATCGAATTTCAACATGATAGAAATGTTCAAGAAATCATTATTTAAACGCTATTTTATAAAATAAATAAATAGATATAGTGAAAAGTACGTTATAATCTACATTATATTCAATTTAATTTCTTCCTAATTCAAGTTTACAATGATGAAACTACATGATTAGGTCTTCATTTTAGATACTAAACATTGAAAATAAGTACTTGTAGGAAAATATATCTTAAACATTTTCATTAACTCCAATTGAGTATGAGTTTATAGAGATTGTATGTTTATATTACATTGCTTGTTGTAGAGAACGATTTATAGAGATCAAATATAATTACGAGAAAGCATACAAGAAAAACGGAACAAATAAATCTGATAAAAGAAGTGGACTTATATAATATAAATAAAATTTAATTTAGAATAATGATAAAAGTATATATATCATTTATTAATCAGGTTTTACAGCAAAGAATAACAGGAAATTTATGTAATATTAAACCACTTACAGAAATTATTTAAATTGATAAGCACTATCAGACTCTAACCTATTTTTTAAATCCTTTTATAAGTTTTATTTCTATTATTTTTTCAAAACATTTCCTAGTTTTTTAACCTCTATTGTTCGTTTTTTAGAACAAATCCATACTTACTAAACTATGTACAGTACGGACAAACCTCGATATAACGTCTTCCTACTAATACAATGAATAATTTAAACGGATCTTCACTATTAATAGAGAACCCTTCAGTATCTATGAATTACTAAATTTACGATTTTACATTATAAATGACATTGGTATCATTAAATTACATAATTTTCAAACATTTAAACTGTATAGCATTCATTACCGTTTATAATTCTTAGTTTATAAAGTACCTTAGTTTAGCGCCGCACTCGCTATACTACTAATTTCCGGGGTAAACGAATAGTGGCGATAAATCGAAGTTTAATTGTACTTTTATTGCTTGTGGCATAAACACCTACAGACTAAAAATGATTAGCAGAATCCATAAAGATAAATCAGCTTCAAATATAAAATTATTTATTTAATTAAATATTTAAAAAAATAGTAATTATATTAATACTCGAATAAATTCCACAAAGAAGCACATTTTAAAATATTCTTAAAATAAAATTAAATAAACATTTTACTGTTTTTTTTTTTTTGTTGCAATGCTCTTATTTGGCACGGAAATTTACTTTGCTATAAATATCCATAATACATAACACGGTATGAAAATAAGAAATGTAAGAGACAGTATAATATACTGTAAATATATTTATTAAATTGGTTTATTTATATTTATCTCAGGTTTTCATATTATATGGTATGATGACTTTCAACTCGAATAGATACGCGGTTTTAACTTTATATTCTGAACATGACTACATGTAATCTATAAGTCAGTGAACTTAAGTTTTCTTTATTAAAAAATATATAACTTTCTTACGTAATTAAGCAAGTATAAATGGTTTTAAAATGTCTTTATTAATGATGAAAATAATGAATTGCAGATAAAATTCTGAAGTGTTTGAAAATATATTTATGTAACGATTTCATAATGGAAACTATTCATGTAATGACTTATAACCAACAAATTTGAAGCATAGAAGCGAAAATATCATTTCACTTATAACACATAATAACAAACAGAATCTTTTAACTGTAATTATTCAATTTTAAAATTTTAAAATATTATAGAATTTTACAAATTCTAAGCGTAGGGTTTCAGAAAATGTCCGTCCATTAATTACGTGTACAGTTTAAGAGAGAAGGGAGCTGAGAAAAAGTACATCATTGTATACTACGGGGAGGTAGGGGGTCGATCATTGTCTATGTGGAAACTTTCAATGGTATTAATGGCGTGCTAATTTGTTCTTATAAGCCTATTTACTAGTCACGTGAATAAAGTATCAGCAGCTTTCAGTGTCATTTATTCAACATCAAGAACTCACAAAATTTTGTATAGGTAAAAGGAAAGGGTTTTGCCAAAAGTACAGGGTAAGAAAGAAAGTCACTTAACACTCCTGCTACAGAGTATATGATACTCAAAGAATGTACATTGATCACATCATGTAACGTTCATAACTCTGTAACCGTTCGAGGTAGGCCAATAAAATCTTTCAGCAATCAATTCCTTATGAAACTCTGACCTTAAATGATATATCATACGACTCTCTTCCCATTTACAGTTTCGGAGTTGCATTCAATATGGCCGTCATAAGATGGCAGCCGTGCGTATAAGACACATCAATCTGTTTCCCCTTCGATCTAATGTGTTCCTGACATAAGCGAATTAACTTTGGGTACATTCTATATCCTGTAGCAGGTGAGTTAAGTGACTTTTTTCCACCCTGTACATCATTGTACACAATAGGGAGGGATCAAAAATGGTTCAAAAACTGTACGGTCCCAGTAATGTTATCATATTTCATTAAAAATATCTATCACATGGTTTAGATTTTATATTTTCGTGCCGTTTTTTATAAAAGGTCTTTATTATTATTCGTTTCGATTTTTATTAAATATTGTATAGTAAGACTTAAATTACTAAACGACGCTTAATTTTATAAACACACCTTCAATGAATTTAATAAAAAATCAGATTAATAACTTAAATTCTCATTAATATGTTGTAATATCCTTAAATGTTAAGTCTATTAATGTGGATATATTATCACAATTGGCAATGTTCTTAAAGCTCTAAAGCCAGATCAGATAAACGTGATAGTTATGTAATAGTGATATAAATTTTCACTACATCAGCAGCTATGTCTGTGAAAGGAAGGGCAGTATTCTGCCTGAACATTATCGTATTGATTCATCCTCATTATTGAAGGTTAGAATGAAGGATTTGCTCAGTATAGATTCGCATACCATCAGAAGATGAAGCAGATTTGTAAGGAAGAACTCATCAAAACAGGATCAGCAATTAATTCATCCCAAACATACATTTTCCACTTTCCTTGAATGTAGTATCTAATATTACTTCTCATTTCTTGTAATAAAGAATTTGCAGTCTTCCGTTTCGAAATTAAATACGTTAAGAAAATATTTTAAAGTTAATCATCCTCACTTAGAATACTTTTTTGAGATTGTTGTTTACACGAACGGCACTGAACACGATATCACTCTCGTAAGAAACTTAAATGCAGTTGATATTGAAGGCAAATCAATAGAGAGAAGTTACTAACCGTGACTAATTACTCCTATGGGAATAATAATATCGTATAATTTTTTTAAATCAATGTTTAGATAGTTTAAAGAATAAAATTCAAACGTATAGTACCCTACTCCTTCCTCACTTCAAACGTTTAGTATATATAGGCCTATATAAAGGGAGCTTGCATATAAACATATTGAAATTTATATCTATAAAATATGAATTATAACTTATGAAACAAATTATTACAAATTATAGTCTAAATTATATAGAATATTATATAACATATAATATTAATTATATATAAATTATAGAAACGATCTGTATTTAATGTAGTAAATACACTATTTCTGGTTCAGGATTAAGGATGATGTAAACTCTACTAGTTGACGAGTTTGGTTTCTCTCGATCTAGAATTCAATATTTTCTATAAAAAAAGCATAATAAATTTGATATTCTATTGAATTAATCGCTATGAAATCTGTGCAGAATTGATTGTTTAATGTTTTTCTAAAAATAGAAGTTAATTGCAACTTTTTTCTTGCAAAGTGTAATGTGTAATGATCATCGAAAACTCCTCTAATTGTTTATAATTTTGCTTAAAAATTAAATTTTAAACTTATTTTTAGTTAAAGTTTTTATATACATATAACTTATATTGTTGATTATGTATATATAAGTGATAATTCTAGGTAACAGCTGCGGTTTAGCAGTTTCGCCTATAAAGATTTCTGAAATTTTTCTGATACTATCTTTTATTGCTGTAGGAAATTTAAGCTTAAATATTTCCCTTATTAATTAATATAGTTCTACAAACAAATTAGTTACAATTAAGATTTTAAAAAAATTCAGTAAATGCTAATTCTTAATAAATTTTCATCTATATTATTTTAAGGAATAAATAAAATTGAATGTAACAATTAAAAATAATCGCAGGAAAACTAAATAAAACGAATAGAATAGTTTTAAAGGCGCTTCAATCTATTTATAAAGTTAATTAGAAAATAAAATTACATTCCGTATCCACTTTAAAATAAAATAAACCAGCAACGAGTTGCTCAAATTTTCCGGCAACATTTAAAATTTTTCTGGCGCCATCTGTTATCGTATTTTATTTTAAAAATTTTTATATTTATAACTATTATAAAACGGCAATAAGCTTAATTTTGAGGGTAGGAATAGGTTT